TACCAGGTGGACAATGGGTACCACCCACCAAGGTTTCACTTGATGAGACCAAAGTGGTACCGGCTGCCAATGCATGACCCCCTAGGACCCAACATTGCTTGGGTACCTAAATCTTCCTTTTAATTGTTGTAGGAACTGTGTGCTGGAGCTATCTCTGAGCAAGATTGTTACATTGATAGTGGATGCTCCAGGCACATGATAGGTGACAAGAGTTGCCTTACAGAGTTCCAGAAAATCAAAAGGCCCAGAGTTACCTTTGGTGGTAATGAAAAAGATGGTCAAACTAAAGGAAGAGGGAAGCTGATCAGAGACCAGATAATCATTGAAGATGTCTCTTATGTCAAAGGCCTGAAATTCAACCTGCTTAGTGCTAGCCAATTCTGTGATAAAGGCTACACAGTTGAATTCTCCAAAGAAGGCTGTTCTGTCAAGCATGAGACGACTATGGAAGTGGTTCTGACAGCTACCAGAAAATGAAACATCTATGTTGTTGATTGGTCTACTGCAAAGGGAGGAATCTGCCTTTTAGCTAAAGGAGATTCAAAACTCAACTGGGAATGACACAAGAAGCTGAGTCACTTGAATTTCAAAACAATCAACAAACTAGCAAGGGATCACATTGTTGATGGCATACCCAACATGGTGTACAAGAAGGAGAGCCTGTGCAGTGCATGCCAGAAAGGAAAGCAAGTGAAGAACTCCTTCAAACCCATTGCTGGAGACCTCTCTACCAGTCCTTTAAATCTGATCCATATGGATTTATTTGGACCAGTGAAAACTCCAAGTGTTGGTGGAAAAAGATATACTTTAGTCATGGTGGATGACTATTCAAGATACACTTGGACAATCTTTCTGAAGAAGAAAAATGAAACTCTGCAGAAACTACCATCTCTTCTGAAACTACTACAGAATGAGCAGAATAAGAAAGTCAAGTCTATCAGATCAGATAGAGGAACAGAGTTCGTCAACAAAGTCATACAAGAGTTCTGTGACCAAAATGGAACAATGCATCAACTCTCTGCAGCCAGAACTCCTCAACAGAATGGAGTTGCAGAAAGAAGAAATAGAACACTCAAGGAAGCTGCAAGGACCATGATTGCTGAATCTGGTCTACCTCACAGATACTGGGCTGAAGCAATCAACACTGCATGCTACACCCAGAACCGGAGCATGATTCACAAAACTCATCAGAAGACCCCCTATGAGCTCTGGAAAGGAAGGAAACCTAACATCAGCTACTTTCATGTATTTGGAGGCAAATGCTATATACTCAATAATGGGAAGGAACATCTCAAAGTGTTCCAAGAAAAGGCTGATGAAGGAATATTCTTAGGCTACTCAAGCACAAGCAAAGCCTACAGAATACTCAACAAAAGGACCCTACTTGTTGAAGAATCGATTCATGTCAAGTTTGATGATCTCAACTCTGTTGAGAACATAACAGAGAACTTGGAGAAAACGAATCTAGAAGAGTCACCAGAAGTGACAACTTCAGAAGTGGTCATCAACTCTGCCATACCAATCCATCTTCAAAATCCCATTCTACAAGACAAAGAATGTGATGAATAACCTGAAGAAGAGCAAGAGAGACCAAGACAACACTTATCAGAACCTGACCTAACTTGGTTAAAGGATCATCCCCCAAACCAGGTGATTGAACAGATCAGAAGTGGAGTACAAACCAGATCTGCTACAACCAGAAGAGAACCAATGCTTGCCTGCTACATATCTCAGATGGAACCTTTGACAGTAGAAGAAGCTCTTGCAGACTCAGATTGGATCAATGCAATGCAAGAAGAACTCACTCAGTTTGAAAGGAACAAAGTATGGGAACTTGTTCCTAGACCTCAACATTAGAATGTCATTGGAACCAAGTGGGTATTCAAGAACAAAGCAGATGAAGAAGGCAATATTGTAAGGAATAAGGCTAGGCTGGTAGCCAAGGGATACTGCCAAGAAGAAGGAATAGATTTTGATGAGACATTTGCACAAGTAGCCAGACTTGAAGCCATCAGAATCTTCCTAGCCTATGCTGCCTTCAACAACATCAAGGTCTACCAGATGGATGTCAAGAGTGCTTTTCTGAATGGGGATCTTGAAGAAGAGGTTTATGTGGAACAACCACCAGGTTTTGTCATTCCTACTCACTCCTCATGTGTCTACAAGCTTAAAAAGACCCTTTATGGTCTTAAGCAAGCTCCCAGAGCTTGGTATGACACACTGTCCCTATTTCTAGTAAACCATGGGTTTACTAAGGGAAAGGTTCACAAAACTCTATTTCAAATCTCTGTTGCTAATCATATTCTGTTAGTACAAATATATGTTGATGATATTATATTTGGTAGTACTAATTCAGAACTATGCAAGAAGTTTTCTCAAGTAATGCAGAGTCAATTTGAAATGAGTATGATGTGAGAACTTAGCTACTTCCTAGGACTACAAGTCAAACAGGTTCCAGAAGGAATCTTTATCAATCAAGGGAAATACACCTGAGACCTGATCAAGAAGTTTGGAGTGGAAGGCAAATCCTCAGTAAAAATTCTCATGAACACCTCACAAGGAATTGGTCCATATGATGAAGGAAAGGATGTCGATACAACAACCTACAGAGGAATCATATGATCTCTCCTCTATCTAACTGCAAGCAGACCAGATATCTCTTTCTCAGTTGGAATCTGTGCCAGATACCAATCAAAGCCCAAGGAGAGCCATCTAAGCGTTGCTAAAAGAATCATCAGATATATCAAAGGAAATCCAAATGCAGGCCTATGGTATCTCAAGGGAGGTAACTTTGAACTAATTAGTTACTCTGACTCAGATTTTGCAGGATGCAGGTTAGATAGGAAGAGCACCTCTGGTCACTGCTAAATGCTATGTGGGAGACTTGTTTCCTGGTTTAGCAAGAAGCAGAATTCAATCTCAACAAGTACAACAGAAGCTGAGTACATTGCAACTGGGAGTTGCTGTGCTCAATTACTCTGGATGAAGCAACAACTGAAGGATTATGGCATTCAAGCAAAGGAGATCAAGTTGCTCTGTGACAACACCAGTGCCATTGCATTCCTGCTTGAGTGTCAAACGTAGCTTTTCTAAAAGCCTACGAGCGTCCTAATTTGGACCAACAAATATAATATACATTATAATACATGAAATAAGTACAAATAAACACATGAACAATGCCTAGTGGAATTTGATAACTGTGATTCAATCTTGATTCTATAAAATTTTATGAATAACCATATTATTACGAAAAACTAATATTTTTTCTAGATTAATTTAGTGAATGATTTGACTCAATAACTTTGCGTATTTAACAAAAATAAATTCGATTAATCACACTGTGTATTCTACTTAAAAAAAGTAATATATATATATATATATATATATATATAGAGAGAGAGAGAGAGAGAGAGAGAGAGAGATGCCCCTGTCCAGCAGTTCGGACAGGAGCCACCGTCTGAACGCCGCCGTTTGGGACAGTTCCCGGCGGAATTTTTTGATGAATTTTTTTGAGCATGTTTCTCATAAAGTCTAGTCTATCCACAAAAATGTTCAGTTCAGAATTCGATCGGGGAGACAGTAAAATAAATCGTTGAAGTTCACTGCATTTTCTATGTATATCCATTTCTCCATAATTCTTCTTTGTATATTCATTTTTTTCTTTTTACTCGTCTCATATTAGTAGAATGTAAAAAATAATTGGCTCCTGGGCTTATGCTAATAGGATATGCAAACATCTAAGAAGCATGTTTTTCCATCTGCGTTTTTCATTGTAGATTTTTTAGTACATAATGGTACTTGGTTTATTTAGGATACTAGGATGTCTCTCCTAGGTAAATAGGAAAATTTCTTACAAATTGTGTCAAAGGAAAATTTCATGCTGCTTAGCCGACGAGCAAATTCAATATGAAAATAAGAAGGCTAAAAAATATTTGACCAACTTCTCGTCTTCTCGGTTGAATTTTATGTTGAAACTATGCATGATTGTTCTACACTTTCATGATGAACATACTCACAAAATTTCATCAAAAAAATCGACTCAAAAGTCCCTCAAATGGGCGGCCAGACGATGGTTCCCCTTAGTCTCGACTGACAAGAACATTATCCCCTCTCTCTCTCTCTCTCTCTCTCTCTCTATATATATATATATATATATATATATATATATATATATATATATATATATATATATATATATATATATACACACACACACATGTGTGTGTCCTTACTCCTTATATGTCTTTTACACCCAAGTGATATTTTCAAAGGGCTAACTTTGCCAAACATTTTTTAAAGCAAGTTAACATGATCAACCAATCGGAACAACTTAACTAATTACGGAGTATCTATTAGCAAGCCATTAACACAAACAACTAATTGCTAACCGTTGATTGCCAAATAAGACTATATCCATCCCATTGTAGCCTCCGAGTCTCCGCACTCACTGTATTCTTTCCTATCAAGTCGATTAATAAATACTCCATTCGTCCCTTAAAATTTTGCCAACTTTTCATTTTTTGTTGTCCCACTAGTTTTACTACTTCCATTTTAAGTAAAGAATTTGAGTTCTAGTCAATTCTATCTCCTCTGCATAAACCTCAACCACACAATTTTGACTTTATTAATCCTCCTACGGGTCAAACTTGGCAAACTTTTAATGAACAAAGGAAGTAAGTTTCTTCCTTTTCTGTTATTCAATTAATTCATGACTCCCATGAATTTTCATTAGTTAAAGCTTAATCATATGATCAATTTTAAGGGTTCGGGTTAGTCCATTAATTCTAAAAGCTTCCCACAACAAGAATTAAAGTACTTCTCATTCTAAACATGTTCTTAGTTTTTAAAACACAAAAAGCAAAGTAGGAAACAGAAAACATCTTGGCTGAGGTCTTAACTTTTATCTTCTTTTAAAAACATTTCCATCTAGTTTTCCATTTTTAATTTTCAACTAGCTTTGAGAGAAAAACTGCAATATCCAAAATCTCACTATCAATACCTCAAAATCTCACTATCAATCCCTTTAAATCACAAGTAGCCTAATACCAAGAAGTTTATGGTATTGCCCACACAACTAAAGAGCAAAAATAATAATCAATGTGAATTTAAGTATCGATTTATGAGAACACTAATAATTTGAGTCTAATATGATTAGGGTAAATGTTTATTGCACTGACTAACAATTGTGAGGGAGTAAGCTTATAGCTTTCCCATCTGGGCACTGGACTGAACAGAGAGATTAAAGGAAATAAAAATATGTAGCGAAAAGATGTAAACACACATTCAACCTGAGAAGATGTACTACCGGAGTAATTTGCTTGTGCTGCAAAAACCAAAACCTCACTCCCTTCATGTGACTATAACTGATCTCACTGCTTATGCCCAAAAGCATTTCTAGGAGGATTGTGTCCCCCTTCCCCGTCATAAACAAAGTATAAGGTAAGAGTCTTTCACTAACAGGATGTAAAATAATTTCCTGTAACTATTCATGTTTGGGCTGAAGCAGTTGTGCTGTTTGCAAAGGTGTGGAATCTGGAGGAGACTTTCGGAGAATATTTAACATTTTCCCCCGGTTTATTTCCTTTCCTACAACAAAAAGAAAAGACAGTTGTAGAAGCATTCTATTTGGTTGTAAAGATAGTTGAAGCTGCATGTTCTATGTTAGTTTAAAGGATAACAAGAACAACCTAAACAATATGCCGCAAAAACCAAACCACTAGCTCTCTTCTGATTTCTAAATTCTAATTGATGTTATTATAGTAACCTCAGTCAAAGACATCAAAATTCATGTGGAATTATTAGATCAAGTAGTCTTAGATATGTTTCTTGTCCTTAAAAATATAGCGTTTTCTAAGGTCTCTGTAGTAAAATGATATCGATATTCATCGTCATAAATTTACATTATTTTCTTTTTGGTCCATCATCCTATCAACGTCAGTTTAAAAAAATTGGCTTTGAAATTTTTATAATGTTTAGTACGTTATTCCAAGGGGATTACTGAATTTTAGTTAGCACTAAATTAAAAGTGGGAAAAATAAATTTCATTTAGCCAACTCCCCTAACAGTTGAGATTGAGTTATAGAAGGTTTGAGTAAAGTTGTTATAAGCCATATAAAGTTTTGTGAGGGATACCAGCTTTTACATTATGCGGAGGTTGAGAAGGATGAACAAAGGAAAACAATGTAAAATTCAGTGAAGAATAACAAAAACAAAATCTACAGGGGCCTAAAGCAAATACCGCTATATGTGCAGGGATGAAAAGCATATTAAAGCCTTATAACCTGTACGAAAATAAGGTTCAATTACTCAATGGTGAGAAAATGTGATAGTTTTGGTATACACAATGAAATAACACAATAAAGTTGTGCAAGGAGATGCAAATTTATCACGCCAGCTCCACACTAAAACTGGAGATACAAATATCAATAAGAAAATCTTCATATAAGCAATGGTAGTGTATTACCTTCATCTATCACCAATTGGATGGCCCTTTTTTCCAGATCAACAGCGTGTCTGCTGAGTTCACTAGGGGATAGACGAAGAAGCACTGCAAAGGATAACCCAGGAGCACAGTTCTAATAATGACTAAAAAAGAAGCAAACAATAATAATAGTAATAATAATACTGATAATATTAACAACAACAACAACAATAACAATAAACATGTAAACGGGAACCTACTCTGAGTGTAATCGCAATAGCTAGACCCATCACACTTCTTCAGTAATTTATGGAGACGAGCAAAACGTTCTGTCCGGTGCTGATCATCAGCCACCTTAAACTCAACTGACTGAGAGTTATCTGAGATAAACTTATTAGCAGAATCAGCTCTCACAAACAGTGGGGCTGTATTAGACTTGCCAACTGAAAGGAATACTTGTGCTCCACTCTGTGAGTAAGTGATATTATTATAGGGCATAGTTATGGAGGCATCGCTGATATTGTTCTCCTTCGATTGATTCGGCATCTGATGAACATCGTTACGCTTTGGAGGTATTAAATCTACATATTTGTCTAAATCGTTTTGGGCTCTTCCCCTACCTAGTTCTAATTCAAACCGTCTCCGAGCATTGATTATATGCTCACTTGCACCATTACTGGCTAATGACATGTGGCAAACGGGACTTGAAGGGCTCTCGGGTGTGAGCCTCTTACTGCCGCAAACTCTTGTTCCATCTGCTCCAAGTTTTGTGCCCAATAGTAGTGAACTGTCTCCAAGGTTAGTTAACTGCCTTCCATTTTGATTTTGTAAGTCTTTTAAAGCAGTTTTCTTTGTAGCACCAGCTAGCTGTTTATCCAAAAGGGTTTTACCAGTTCCCCTGCCGGTCACCCCATTACTTAGCTGAGAATTCACCATATGTGGCAACGAATGAGTTGACAAATAAAAACTATCGAGTTTTTGAGCTTCCTTTCACTGAACACACGGAAAGAAAACAAGACATCCTATTACCCTGTCCTTTAAATACTCCGTAAAAGAAGAGATAATTGAACTAAAATCAAATAAATACCAGGCACGGAATTCACAAAAACAAGCAACTTACTCTAAACATGTTTAAAAAAAAGAACTATTACTGGAATTTATTAATCAGGGGTAAAAGGACAAAAAACCACACATTTTTTATGTATTTTGAATTAGAGTAGCCTCAGATCACCGTGGAGAAAATTGACATCAATTATCTAGACAGACCCTAGCTAAACGGGCACAAAAAACCCTACTAATAAACACGCTATGCACGACCTATCCAAATCCTCCAAAATACCAAAATTGTAGCTGAGAATTAGAAATAGAACTTGTGCATTTCAACTCACAAACAATATATAATTACGTAAGCGTACAGAGGCGTGTGTTACACATGGAGCCCAGACGGTTCGCGCAGACAGATGAAAAAGTGTACGAGCGAAGCTCACAGCTCTGAATCCGAAACTGATAGAGCCGCGTCAAGGTGAAGGGGTTTCAAAAGAGGTGAGTTTGGCTCCAAATATCAAAGAATATAGTTACAAATTTATACTGCGTGGTACTTTGTACCTATTTAAAAGTTCACCACAATAAGTTTAAGCATATACTCCCTCGGTCCCGAAATTATCTTCAATCTTTCTTTTTCTGTTCGTCCCAAATTTATGTCATCTTTCCCTTTTTAATAAAGAATATGTGATTCACAACCATTCTTACACATTTCTCTCTCCTCTGCAAAACTCTCCATCACACAAATCTCACTATCTTAATCCCCGTGTCCAGTCAAAACCGGAGTTAATTATGGGACGGAGGGAGTATCATTTAAAAATGAAATAGTAGGGAAATGAATTATGTAGAAAAAGATAGAAAAATGATGAAAAAAGTATGAAAGAAAAGATATAACATAAGAAAAGTAAAGTTCCTTGAGTATTTTTAGAGAATTTATCAAATATGAAAAATATAACAAACTTTTAAACGGATCCCAAAAAAGTGCATTAAACTTTAAAATAAGAAAGGAGTATCAAATGACTCCAAAACCCAAATAAAAGTTCATTCCTTCCCAAAAAAACTTTTAAACACACCCTAGGGTGATTGAGAAAAAAATTGGCTTTAATGATGTTAGGGAAAATCGCACATTTGACCCCTAATTATCCACCATATTGAAATCACAAATCTGTGTTTTAGGTTTTCTAAATTTCACTCCCGAGTTGTCCGAATAATTATAAATGTCACCCCTGTCGTTATAAATATTGTAAACTCCGTCTGTTTTTCATTTTTTCAGGGTTAAAATGGTCATTTCCCCATCCTTTATTTTATTAGCAATATCCGTTGGCATCGCCGGGCACATTCTGATTGATTAGTTGGTCGCTAGTCCGGCAGTTCCAGGGAGGCTAAACTCCATGTCCAATACCTCAGTTGTTTGCTAATTCACCATGCTCCGCCACCTCTCGGCTCTCACACTCTTCATCTTCGTCATCACAGTCGGAGAGCCATCAACATCTGCGGCGGTTCAGGATCACCAGCAGCAGCAGGACTACTCACCGGTGACCCACTTCCAGCAGTACCTTCGAATCAACACCGCCCACCCCAACCCTGACTACCCCTCCGCTGTCAATTTCCTCACCGCCTTGGTCGGCTCCATCCCCGGCCTCCGATCCCAGCTTCTGTATTTCACTTCTCCACCCCCAAACAAACCCCTACTTCTACTCACCTGGCCCGGCTCCAACCCTTCAATTCCCTTCATCCTCTTCAATTCGCATCTTGACTCCGTCACCGCCGAGCCCACCAAGTTGTCCCATCCGTCCTTCTCCGCCCACCGCTCCTCTAATGGAAAAATCTTCGCTCGCGGAGCCCAGGACGACAAGTGCATCGACATCCAGTACTTGGAAGCTATCAGGGCCATCCAAATCAGCTCTCCGGGCTTCACACCACTCCTGAATGTCCACATCTCTTTCGTTCCCCAGGAGGAAAATTGGGGGCTTCGAATTAGGGCTTTAAACGAAAAGGATTGGGAAATGACAATTATAACCCTGGAAAAAATGAAAAACAGACGGAGTTTACAATATTTATAACGACAGGGGTGACATTTATAATTATTCGGACAACTTGGGGGTGAAATTTAGAAAACCTGAAACACGGGTTTGGGATTTCAATATGGTGGATAATTGGGGGGTCAAATGTGCGATTTTCCCATGATGTTATGTTTAACTAGTTAATTGATGAGTGAAGATACTGTTTCCCGAAAGTAATTTGCCTCGTTAGTAACGTGTATATGCATACTTATTTTATATAAGTTAAAACATAATATAAAATTGCAAAATAAATACAACAACAACAACATCCAAGCCTTAATCCCAAAAGAATTTGGGGTCGGCTAACATGAATCGATCTATGATATCGATGCCAAAAAGAGAAGGCGGACAAGAAAAGGAAAAAAAATAAGATAACATGAATAAAAAATAAAGATAGATAAATATAAGATAACAATAACACAAGAATATAACCAAGATAAAAGAAAAATAAATAAAAGAGCATAAAAAAGCTAGAAGATAAAAATAACATAAGAATATAAAAAGATAAGGAAGATAAACGATAAAAGAAATAAGAGAGGAAAGGTAGACAATACATCAATCGTCCACATGGATGTGCGCCCTCCACTTTGCTCTCTCCAAAGCCATACTCTAATCCAACCCAAGTAGACGCATATCAGTTCCGATTACTCTAATCCAAGTCGGTTTGGGTCTTCCCCTCCCTCTCTTCTCTGACTCTTCTCCCCACCCCTCAAGTCGTCTAACAGGTGCATCGCTCGGTCTTCTATGCACATGCCCAAACCACCGCAAACGAGACTCCTGCATCTTATCTTCTATAGGTGCTACTCCCACCTTTTGTCTGATTACCTCATTCCTCAGGCGGTCTTTTCTGGTATGTCCACACATCCAATGCAACATACGCATCTCTGTCACACTCATCTTTTGAATGTGGCATTGCTTCACCGTCCAACAGTCTACGCCACACATTAATGCCGGCCTAATTGCTGTACGATAAAATTTACCTTTCAGTTTAGTCGGCATACCTCGATCGCATAGAAATCATGAAGCACTTTTCCGTTTCATCCACCCAGCTCTGATTCTATGACATACATCTCCATCTAATTCACCATCCTTCTGAATTATGGATCCCAAGTAACGGAACATATCACACACCGGTATCTCCTTACCATCAAGAGTAATCCCACTATTGCTACTGCTTCTACCTCCACCGAACGTGCACTCCATATACTCAGTCTTGCTTTGGCTCAGTTTGAAACCCTTGCTCTCCAAAATTGCAAAATAAATGTGTATATATATTTAGTACATATATAGTTGATGGAGATCTTACTTTTTTCCCTTTTCTTGTCCGCCTTCTCTTTTTGGCATCGATATCATAGATCGATTCATGTTAGCCGACCCCAAATTCTTTTGGGATTAAGGCTTGGATATTGTTGTATATAGCTGATGGAGTATATTCTCATATACCCCAGATGTACCATAATTGTCGGTCAAATACTACAGAGGCATCTCAAAATACTCAAAGTATCAAGCTTCCAACAGAGGCCGATCCCGACCCCGACCCACCGCGGTAGGGACCAAACACAAGACGATGAATTGACAAAGGACAGAAGACCAGCCAAGACCGACCTCGACCCTCCGAGGTCGGCAGAAACTGTCACGCCCCGGACCTAGCCGGACACGTCAACAACCCGCCGTACAGCACGAATAGTCAACCGCAGTCCAACTCATCCATACTATACAAGACGTCATGAATATCATTCACACATAGTACATCCATAAACAAACATAATGTAAAACATGCATTTAAAACAGCGGAAGCATTAATACAATTGTTCAAGCCACACTTGGCATAACTAGGCATACAAGCCTCCAAAGTAATTATTCAGAAAATATTATCCATGAGTATTAATGTAATTGTTTTTAAAACAGAACGGGAGAAGCACGAACCACGTCTTCTTCCCTTGATTCCTCCTGAAGCAACGGGCAATGGCAGCGACCTTCAAGTTCTACCTGAAACTGTGAGGTGGCCTCCCCCGTGAAGGGAAGGTCAGTACTTGGAAATATTTGACAAGTACAATAGCAACTATACTAAGTATAATCAACGTTTTAATTTCCAAGACCCTCAACTTAGGGTACTATTATATTATAGGCCATAACCCTCGGTTACCCCTCTTTCTTTTAACTGTACTTACTTTACATAAAGTCAAGTAGTCGGCCCGTAGGCCCATACTCATTTAGAATTCATCTTTTCCATTCCCCCGTGACCGTGAGTCACGATAACCCCGTGAGGGCCCATCGAGCCCCAATTGTATAGCATGGGCTCGGCCCAACTACATCTCTATACAATCCTCTAGCTCAATATATCATATCAAAATTTGTATGGCAAGGGCTCGGCCCAACTACGTTTCCATACCAACCATAACTTCGTGGCAAGGGCTCGGCCCAACTACCTTTCCACGGAGGTCACATATACATGGCAAGGGCTCGGCCCAACTACGTTTCCATGCTAATCATATTACATGGCATGGGCTCGGCCCAACTACATCTCCATGTCATCCTAGAGTCCAACTCTAATTATTCTCATAATCAAATTCTCAAGCAAGTCCTATGCCTAGAATCAATTCCCGTAGGTGGCCTTTAGGCCTACCCCTATCACACCTTAGTGTTCATACCATTCATCCTTAAGTATCTCTTGAGACTACTTAAGGCATATCTATTCACAATCCTACCTCTTAGGATTTGTTTCATCAATTATTTATATTAATTCCCCGACTAGTATTTTGATACTAATTGGATAACCTTAGAACATGCCAAGTTCCTATTTCTCAATTTGCATTTCATTTCCATTGACTTCTCAACCCAAGTATAGTTTAATCTCAATATCAAAAATATCACTTTAATCCATTCATGAATTTCATACATGAAGTAAGCTTTATTTTATCACAATGTCATCATAGTAATTCCATTAACAAGCCGTTCCATTCATTTCACATAATCATACACAATTATTCTAAATTTGTATATCATGCTTCACTTACTCATATCCATATTATTTTCATTTAGGCATTATTAATCATTAATAATCCATGAAAATCCCATCTAATTACTTTAGGCATTCTTATGAAATTAACTCACTAATTATAAGCAATATAGTCAGCCATCCTCACCTCGTGACGTGCTACAATAGTTGCCTTTGTTAAGCCCCTCGATCAATCCCCATTCTAGGCCGATTGAAAGTGAAAATCTGGACTGCTGGCCCAAAGCCGGGCGGCTTTCACGAAAGCCGGGCGGCTTTCGTGTTCTGCAGAAACGGGCAGCTCCCTTAAAGTGGCGGTTTCCGGCGATTTCGACTCCTATCGATTCACCAACTCTTCTAAGTTAAATATCACCACTTTTTATCAATATTCTACACTTTTAAACGTGTAGAACTTCATGTTTAACCCACCATATGATTTCTTAAAAATCATACTACAAAAATTAGTTAAAAGAGCTATTTGAGTTCTTACCTCAAGGCTTAGCTTTTTCCTCTATGGATTATCCTCCTTGTTGCTCCCTCCAACTGCAGG